GCTCCATCCGCCTCGAGAAGACCAACCCCGGTACGCCCCGCCCTGATGCCTCTCTCTTTAGGTATCGGCTGGCGTCGAGCGCTCCCTTAAAGAGCTCACCTGAGCCGGCCACACAGACGCGCCGGCCGATGATGCGTCGGTGGAGTTCATGCGGCTGGGCGTGGGCGACTCCTTCGGCGAGATGTCCCTCATCACCGTACGCGGCCTCGCCTTGAAAACGGTGAAGTGCCAACGCAGGCGCTGATCTGAGGTAATGAATGACACACCAGGGCCTGCCGCGGTCGGCAACGGCCATCGCCTGCGAGGACACGACGCTCCTGGAGCTCAACCGAGGTACGGCGCCCGTAAGGCAGCGCTCGTGTTTGCCTGGACCACGTGCTGATGTTTCTGTGTGCGTGTGCGTGTACGTGTGCGTGTGCGTGTGCGCGTGCGTGTGCGTAGATCGCTTCGAGTCGTTGCTTGCTCAGTACCAGAATATCCGCTACCACGTCATGCACGTCGTCTCTGAACGCCTCAAGGTTGGTTGTTTTTCTGTTGCCAGACGTCTTTCCTGGTTGTGGAAGCCACGACTGATCAGATCTGTGTGGTGTGAACCCAACGTCCTTGGGGCAGGAGTCGCAGAAGTTTGATGAGCACATCCGCAAGCGGGCCAGCAGCCCCAGGGCAAGCACCAAGGAATGATGTGTGCTCGTCAAGCGGTGTCTTCCTGGACAGGCCCAAGAAACAAGAAAATCAATTTATTTTCAATTTATTTCGATTTTCAGTTCTGGGTGAAGATGATGCTACGAAGAGGGTGGACACGGCCTGCCCTGAGCGCTTGCCACAATGGTACCCTCTTACTGGACTTCTTTACTTCTCTCTACGCAAATGTCGTTGATTAAATCATAGATTAACAATAATAATATTTTATCAATTTGATTTGTGGGCTGCAGATGCCCCAGGCCGTGCGGTCTCCATGTCACGTTCGCTCGCGAGCAGTGCGCGGCAGTCGCCGTCGGCTGCCACCACCTCACAGCAGCAGCAGATGTTGTGGGTGGACCGCTTCCGCTTCCGCTGCCGGCCCACGCCCACATCGCGCCCGCTCTCCAGCGCCTACGTGGCCCTGGCCAAGGTGGTCCTCCGCAGCGGCAGCAAGCGCAAGCGCGCCCAGGTCGCGGCCACGGCCGCGGCCGACGGCGCCGATGCCTCCGCAGCGCAGGCCTGGACCCAGCGCCGGCTCCTTCTACCGTCACTCGCGCCCGGCCGCACCGTCCCTGCAGGTCGCGCACACACTTTACTCCTCCGCCTCCCCGGTTTGACGATAACTCATCGTGTGCGGTGCGTGTGTGTCGTGCGTGCGG